TGTTTGGTATTGGCTAATGGTTAGATAAACAATGTTTGGTATTGGCTAATGGTTAGATAAACAACGTTTGGTATTGCTCGTATATTACTCACTCTGATTTCAGTGTTGTTCAGAGGAATGTTTATCACTGATTGAAGCCAAATGTCTCCATGGTTACCGGTTTCTTTGAATAACATAGTTTCTTCCAACTCCCCATTTTTTTCACTCTTGTGTAAAAACGCCTGCAGCGTCCCCACACTTTTTCCATACATATGATACCAAAATGTTAAACAAAAGCCTGTTTTTGAGGCAGTTAGCCATGGTGTCATTAGTCTAGCTGTTTGGTATGCTCTTCTGGGATTAGATGTTTCGATGTAAAGATAGTACCCTGTAAATGTAGAGGTAAAAAGTTTTTCTTAATACAAACCGTTCCTTTAAAACTACATTAAGTCAATCATATTCTGAAATAACGTTGTTTAAAGTGTGATTGAAGGTCGACATACACAAAACTGGAACGCACGTTCGCTACGATCTTAACTTTATTGCTAAATGAAGCATAGTTAACTCAAACCATTTGGTGTGTGTTACTCATGGACAATCTTAGTGTTTTGAAACATTGATTTGGGAGTTTATGTCTTTAATTCATAATTCAGTAGAATAAAATTTATAAAATGTGAAGCAAACAAAGTGACAAAATTATGACGTTTTTCCCTTTTCCTTTGAAAAAAAGATGAAAATCTCAACAATATAATCAAGACATGCAGATATAACGAGTTTAGTTATGATTTCACTTAGTCATTCTCATTTTTATTCTAAAATTCACAAACCTTTACACACCAGTTTTTAATCTTATTGAACCTAGAAGCTGCCTTTCTAAGTCTAGCAGATCATTGAAGTTGTTCACTAAAAAAACTTTTTTTATATTCTGGTGCCCGGCATGGCCAGGTGGTTAGGGTGCTCGACTCGCGCTGTGCCAGGTCGCGCGTTCGAATCTCTGTCCTACCAAACATGCTCGCCCTTTCACCCGTGGGGGCGTTATATAATGTGGCGGTCAATCCCACTATTCGTTGGTAAGAGCCATAACTATATTGGAAAATAAACTTTTGAAACTAAGATCTTCTTTCACAACGTTTTAAATTTAGACTTTAACGATAAAATAACAAATAAAAATGTATTATACAGGATAGGGTGAACTTCTCGATACAGTGTATAGAGATAAAAAGTAGGATTTACAAAATAACTAACGTTCGGAAATCTAAAAAAAAGAACAGGTATTTTTTCAACCTGATCATATTTAACCATATCAAAGTATGCACTTGCCCAACACAAGTGTGGGTGTATTAACTATCTAGAGGTAGGAAAAAGTACGATTTACAAAAAAGTTACGGTTATTTAACTTGGTAACATTTCTTTATGTTTAACTTTAGGATAGGATCTAAATTCGTAATTATAACACACTTTTATAACACGGGAAAGAGATTGATATTCATACCTGACCCTTGAACCACACCTGGTAAGTTATATGTCGTGTGATCCATCTTTGGACCAGTGTTACGTGTGGGAGTCTGACCTTTGTGTCTTGTCCAGTCAAAATTGTCGTACATCACCTGATGCAGGTCACACAAATCTTCATCGAATGAACACGACACAGATGCATCTGCACAAAAAAAGTAAAAATGTATACTTAGGTAATTAGTCGCAACAAACAGGGTGATTCACCCAATCAACCACTTCTTAAGAAATAAGGCAACTTTGTTAAATAATAAACATATAAAGGACAGGTTGACAGTAATATTTCAGTGAATTGTTAACAAACGTCACATTTATGCAGAATATAAACTTTTATTCAATAAGAATTTTAAAAGCCATCGAATGATAGTTTAATTAATAGTGAGTATTAAAGGTCGCTCACTGTTATTGCTGTAATGCTGATTTTTGTGCTGTTTCGTTATTGTTGTTGTTTTCCACTAATATGATACACGTATATACTAACCTTCTATAAGCAAACAGTAATAATTGAAAAACTAGCGTTCGGTAATTAAAGCAATTGAAATAAAACGTACGATTCACTAAAACTAGTGTTCGGAAATTAGAAACAAATGGAACAGTTTCACTGTTGACCATCACTAACACAATTTCAGAAAACATTTTAAAAAACGTACCAAAAGTTCAGGTAGTATACACTTAACATCGTTAACAGAAAAGGGGACTAAACATACTTTAAAAAAATGTCAGCATGAACATGAAGCTTTAGTTAGATATTCTAGCGAATGAAAAGGGAATGACATCACTAATGACGTTCCATTGCGTTCCCAACAGCGGTGAAAAACTCAACAAAGCCTTGTAAATCCTACTTTACTGCCATCATTTCACAGAATCGGTTACACTAAAATTATCGCTACTGAACTTCTAATAAATTTGACTCCTTAAAACATTTATCTTTTACAAATACCTGTAATAGGAAAGCATTCAGGAAAGGGAGCGTTCCATCCTACACTTCCATCAGGAAATTTCCGACGGTATACTCGAGCAGGCCCAGTGAGTTTAAATCCTTCATCACAAGCAAATCCCAAGATTGCGCCAAGAATAGGTATAACGCCACCCATTATTTTTCCGTGGGGAAATGAAACAGTAGGTTGGCAGAACCGCTGCAGTTTCACTAAAACGAAACCGGAAACCGTTCATTTAGCAAACGATCATCATAATAAGGGTTTTTGAAGAATGATTTATTTTGAGAAAAAATTATAAATCGATGTGTATCTCTGAAACGAAGCATTTAATGGTTGTGAAAAACAAGAATTAAGATTATTTTTTAAGTTTCATTGTTAAATATAATGTAAAAAATATGTAAAATACACGAAAATGCATAAAGTTTCTCTTACTATTCATGATATGGTAAAGTGTCTTGAATGTTTCCCTCTTTTATATTTCTAACCTTTTTAATGTTTGGTTTATTTTGAATTTTGCGCAAACCTATTCGCGAGTCACTAATTTAACAGTGGTAGACTAGAGGGAATCAACACCACCCACTGCCAACTCTTGAGCTACTCTTTTACCAATGAATAGTGGATTGGCCGTCACATTATAAGACCCCCACGGCTGAAAGGGCAAACAAGTTTGGTGACGTAGATTCGAATCCGCGAACTGCAGATTGCGAGTCGAGCGCCCTGACCACTATGTCACTTTTTAAAATGAGATATCACAGTGTGAATAACTCTGCTCTGACGTTAAAAAGCTAGTTTATTACCAGCACTCATTGAAAATAAAGTCGTATTTTAAGAGAATACATTTTTCACACACACAATATTTTGGTATTATGAAATATCATATTATATTTGTTTCTATGAATTATAGTCTTCCTTAGGCAACCTTAGAAATACTCTTTGGGCGGGCACACATATCAAGATCGATAATTAAATTTATCAAACATTTTGGTTTTGTGGTTGAGCCTCCAGTAAGCCGTATGGGTCGAGCGTGGCCTAGTGGTTGCGTCCCGGAATGTGAAACTGAAGGGTAGTGGTTCGCGTCCCGTTGAAAAATAACCAAAAAACACGTTCCACGCTGTGGAGCTCCGAGTAGGAATGTTATGAGATTAGCGGTCAAATACCACTATTCAATTAAAGTAGTCATATAGTTGTGGAACGTTATGAGATTAGCGGTAAAATACCACTATTCAATTAAAGTAGTCATATAGTTGTGGAACGTTATGAGATTAGCGGTAAAATACCACTATTCAATTAAAGTAGTCATATAGTTGTGGAACGTTATGAGATTAGCGGTAAAATACCACTATTCAATTAAAGTAGTATTACATAGTTATAGTTCATGATGCTTCTACTCTAATTAGATATGTCTAGTGCAAGAAACCCTTGCACGAATATCCGAAACAAACAAACCAGGAAACCAATAAAGTCCAACCACCTTTTCGAAACGCAAAATATCATGACAATTTAACAAGATGTGTTGTCGATATTTTCCTATTTGTCCCAAAGATTTGAGGATATATATACATGGCAGAAAGAAGTTGCATTAAACATATAAAAGTATTTTAAGTTTGTGTGCAATAAAAAAATTTGATGAGTCGTTGTACAATTTCTACAAGAACCTTCTGTCAATACACCTTAACATATTCAAAAGCATATATTAACTATTAAACAAGGAAATGCACAAAAAAAAAAAATTAAAATGTTAATGATTTTACATTTAATAAAAAAATTATATTTAAATATTTGATTCTATATGCTGTCAATATTACTTTGTTTCGCAATTATGAAAGCCCTAATAATTATATCATTTATGAAAAGTTTGGTAAAAACATACATTAACAAATCTGCGAAATTTTTGTGACTACCAAAAATAGTTTTCTTTGTAAGATTCAACTTTCTTGACGAGAGGCTGGGGTATCTAATGAGTAACTGTTTCACTCTGAAGGTTTTCTCAAGCAAGATACTTCTCAACAACTTACGAGTATCGTGACATTCGTCTGGACTACAAATCCTTCTTTGATGTTGTGTCTTTTGTGGACATTTGCTGCCAAAGTGATTACTTAAGCGGCCTCGCTTTATTGCATAATCTGCTGTTTTCACGTGAGTTGCACACGTTCGTTGACGATCTTGAACGCCGTATCCACGTGTGACCGTACAGGGAGACCACGTGCTCCATTCTGTCCATTTTTCAGCTTCTGGCTCCGAAAGATTCTTTGTGTTGAATTAATTAGAAAATAATCAGTACCCAATGTATATACTTTGACCAATCAATGCATTTGATTGTGTCTTATCAGTCATTTTGCTTCTAAAAACTCGACTTTTCATTAAGAAAAATGCTTTTATATCACAAAATAATACATAATAATTTCCAATTTTACAAGTAATTTTTACAACGTAATCAAATAATAAAATCCACAGTTCATATTTGCAAAAATACACAGACCAACGAAAAACCTTTAGTTAACCTATGATAAATGTTATAATTACTTTGTTATACACATGATACAATAACAATGCTGAGCAAAAACATTTAAATCAAGATGACTGACTACTGAGAAAAAATTAATGAGCCCCATAATACTTCACATATCACATTATTATATTTCCCCTGCCTCTTTGAGCAAAACGATTTAGAACGATTATGCTTACCAAATTACTTGAGTTGGGACAAAGTATCCACTTAATACTAACCCACTGACCGACCAGGTATATTACAATCACATGACATGCAAGGATAATGTGCCTTAGAAATCAATATCTTTTTTGAGTTTCATAAATAGAGTAGAAAAGCATTAAATTAATAAAACAAATAAATAGATATTAACGTTGTGTTAAATCCGGTTATTATTAATAAATTCCATTACCACTACTTACAGTACATTTCTACATTACAATGCACAAAGGCATATAAACGTATTATATATAATATGTATTTATATGTTAAGATAAGACAACGGTTCTGCTAACAGTAGAATCTAACGAAAAAGGACATAACACAAGCATGTTTTTCTTCCTTATATTATTCCTTAATTTCAAACAAGGCCTAAAATAAATATATAGGGCAGGGGGGAAAACTAGTATACACTAAGTTGGGTTATTAGATTGTATCTTAGTACGTACGATAGATGATACGTTCTCACGGCTGTGATACTCCTAATTCTACTGATACATTTCGTACTTGGACAGATTTTAGTATTTTCACACTGCAGTTTTTAACTAGGTTTTGTTTATTAATCGTATTTGTGCGACGTTTTTTGTTTTTGATGTAGTTATTTGGCATTATAAATATTTATATATATACATGTTTAGAGAAAGACATTTTTCAGTTCGTATAACAATATGCAATTTGATATCGAGTTATATAAGGAGATCAGTTCAGGCGATCTATGTAAATCGATCAAAGGATGTACTTCTCAGGAAAGTGAAAAACCAACAAAAAACATAATTATTCGCAGCTACAAATGAACGGCGACTTTAAATAGTGTAAATATTCTATTTATGCACCACCCGGTATCATGTTTCGACCAAGACCTCTAGCATGACAAACCTGTGTTCTGTCAACTAGTGGGTCAGCCCTTTAATAAATGCTAGTTAGAGAAATTTCAAGAACTTAAACTACCATAAACTCCTGCTGAAAATCAACTGCTCAGAAGTGTACATGTTTTGATTAATGCAGTATAATTCTGTGCAAACGAACTTCTACAACAGTAGACTGACCTAAAATGATTTTGTTTTGCTCAAACCGACTTCTACAACAGTAGGCTGACCTAAAATGATTTTGTTTTGCTCAAACGGCCTTCTACAACAGTAGGCTGACCTAAAGTGATTTTGTTCTGCTTAAACGGACTTCTACAACAGTAGGCTGACCTAAAATGATTTTGTTTTGCTCAAACGGACTTCTACAACAGTAGGTTGACCTAAAGTGATTTTGTTCTGCTCAAACGGACTTCTACAACAGTAGGTTGACCTAAAGTGATTTTGTTCTACTCAAACGGACCTTCTACAACAGTAGGCTGACCTAAAATGATTTTGTTTTGCTCAAACGGACCTTCTACAACAGTAGGCTGACCTAAAGTGATTTTGTTCTACTCAAACAGACCTTCTACAATAGTAGATTGGTCTTAAATGGGTAACCAAGCCAGTTTGCTTTAGAAAACTGAATTTGATTTGATATACTTTACTATCGCTCTGTACAAACTGTTCAGCTTAGAAAAAGAAGAGTTAATGTCATAGGCTCAGGAATTGTTCTGTTAAAAAAAATCAGATTTGACACGTTTTATGCGTTGGTTTGGAGTTGAATGACTTACTCAAAAGATTCGTTTGAGATGAATAAATCTCTTAATTTGATAAGGTTTCAAATAGTTTTGGTTAAAGAAAGATTTCCATCTGTGAAAGTCTCAGATTCTTCTGCTTAACTTATTTTCTTAGTTGGTCTACCTAAAAACAAAACATCCTGCAATGCCCTTTAACATTTAAAAAAAAGATCAAAATGAACAATCTAATCTTATATTACCTCTGTTTTTGCTCCAAATAATGGCAAAGAAATCCACAAACAAAGAAGAGACCAAGAAGTTAAGTTTAAAAATGCGTTTCTTCTAGAACAGCTATCTTGATATAACTTTCTGAATTTCATCTTTCGACTTTATGAATCTTCTTGGAGACTATGTATGAGTAGTGAAAGATCCCACTATGACCAGCAACACTTTTGTGGTCTACATATTTATATGAGTGTAAATTATTCTTACACCCACTCTCTATGTTTGGTGCATAATGGTAAGCATCTGGAATACTATTATTTTTACATATTTTTGAAGTATATCTTGCGAAAGACTACCAGAACTATGAGTGAGAGGAGGCGGTGATGTTACATGTTTTGACACATTTACTGTTAGAGTTCTTTGAATATTCGTTGTATGTATGAAGTGAAGAAATTCGAGGAAGTGTTCAAGTTTTACACATACAAGGTTTGGTTAGGTCAACATTCTATCCTGTTCTCTGTCCGCAAAAGTTTAACTCAGCAACCAACTGGGATCAGTGAAAAATGATTCTTTAAGTGATGTAACCACGCAGAATTGTATATGTATCTACTCTACGTACAGAGGCAATTAAGACTTTGGACAGCTTGTCTGTGACATGACGTAGTACAGTGTCAGCTTTCATTCTGTTTGTCTTGATGTAATCCACTTTAGGATTGTTCCGCTAAAAGGTTAATCATTTAGGAGTGCAGTTAAATGTGAGCCTGGTTTAAGTTCCGAAATGAGTTTGAGCAACATTATCTAGGATGCTGACGTACTGGAAGTATCTAGAACGCTAGTAAAAAACCACAGTAAATGGAACAGACTGTCCTGATATAGGAGAAATTAGTTCTGACACATTTGCGTGTCCCCTTTAGTCTCACGTTTCATTTACTGTGTTTTTCCACTGTGTTATTTAATTGTATTGTGCCCACCACGGTAACGATTCATTCTGCATTTGAAAACAATATTTTATTACAATTAGTTATTTAAGGTTATACTTAATTTATTATTGTATCAGGAACATGTCACAAGAGAGCTTTGTCACAAATTTTATTTTAGTTATTTATAACACTTATTCGCTTGGAGACTTTCGTACTAATTAAAGACACCCTACCCACACCTCCATCGGTCGCGTTCGTCAGTAGGTTTACGTAAAGATTATACCTCAAAATTACTTTACTTTGCTAAACTAGTAAAAAACCACGATCTCATTCTCGTGTGAAGAGCCTGTTTCAGAGATCACGCTGCACTCTCTGTATATACAATAAAATGGTGATTATAGCGACTAAAGATTGAACTTCAGAGTAAAGGTCGGTATTAATGTTGCATGTTCAGGGTAAAGGAGGATATTAATACTGCATGTTTAGGGTAAGGGAGGATATTAATGGTACATGTTCAGAGCAAGGAAGGATATCAACGGTGAATGTTCAGGGTAAAGGAGGATATTAAAGGTGCATGTTCAGGGTACAGAAAGTTAATAATGGTGGTTGTTCAGGGCTAAAAAGTATATTAATGGTCTATGTTTTTAGTTAATGCAAGTAGGAGTCATATTGGATCCTTTTTAGTGTATTTTATGTCAGTGATTTTGCAGTCTTTATCATCAGAGAATGTGAATACTGTTCCTATCGTCTCTCTATATACTTACATCTCTTTTTTGTTAAAGCATAAATAGCTTAATGGTGTACAAAATGCATGATATAGAGTATTCCGCATGTTTGAAAACATTGTTCACATTGTTTTTACTAGCAGTAACGCTGCCCTACATTTTCTAAAAAATGATTTTTCTTGGAAGCACTGCACGGGAAAAGTGTTCGGATGGATGTGCTGATATAAACTGTAATATTTTATATATTAAAAGTGGTATCCTTTATTTAAAAAAAACAGTTTTTAAGAACTCCATTTTTTGAGTATTATATTTACAAATTACATCAATAAAGATATAATCAAACTCTCACGTACAGTCCTATTGAAAGTCGTGTTCTTGTTGTGGGGAGAGTACTTTTATTTAAAATTGTGTTCAATTATAAAAAAATGGTTGTTGCAACCATAGTTATTTTTCTGTCTGAATCTTTAATAACGAAAGTATGAACTTTTTTTTATGAAATGTTGTTTGTGGTGCCATTTAATAGATACATGTATATACATAGATACGTATACACGCTACGCCCATTACAGTAAGATTGTTTTCTGTGAGCGGCTAGAATTAGTTCCAAATTCTCAATATAACTTCTAAAGAAGTAGTCAGTTTATAGTTGGAGTATCACTTCGTCATTCACACCAAGACAACCTTATACTGTTATTTATTTCCAAGCGTGTACGTGAAATACTATGTTTGTTTCAAAGTTTCATTAAAAGGACAGCTTTTTGGCTAACATTCTTCTCTACTGTTTACCTATATTTCAGCACTGATATTCTGAATAAAATTAGTAAGTCTGCTTTAGAAACAAAGACGTAATGTAGTCATAACATGATATATTTAAAAAAATTATCAGCAGTGAAAAAAGTTTTCATTAAACTATAAAGTGCAGTTTTAATTCTGTTTGTAACTTTGTATTTGTATTTTGTGTCGCTGTCCCTAATTTTGAACTATTGAACAGAGAGAAGGCAGCACCCTACCACCTACCATTCATGCTAAAGGATCGGCTGTCTCTCTTATAACGCACACCTTAACTAAGTGCGGGTATTATTTTATAGTATCATACAATTTCGAATCAGGCCCGCCAGCTTCGAAATCCAGAGTTCTACTACAAGGCCAACCCTGACTCCCTAATTCCAAAGTGGAGCAGTGAAGATAAGAAGTTTTTCATTCTATTCAACTTCTGTTGTGCAAAGCAAGACAGATAAATTCTTAATCTTACTAGTCTATAATAATAAAAGGGAGTTTCTGTGTGTGTATGACCGCAATAACTCCAAGAGGAAAGAACCTGGAAACCTGAAATTTTGCACACATACTAAGTGGACCCTTAGGGTGTGCATCTGGATATTATTACTTACCCATGTGCATGCGCGCTTGCGCGTGCGCATCTCTTTCATGAGGAAAGCAAGCAAAAAAACACATAGAAAAGAAGTGTGACCACCATAGCTCCAAAGAAAAAGAACGTAGACACCTGAAATTTTGCATCCATACTGAGTGTGTGCACTCCAATATTACTTATTTTATCTACATGCATGCGCGTGCGCATCTTTTTAATGAAGCAAGCTAACGATAAACCACATAAAAAAGAATATGTTACCACCATAGCTCCAAGAGGAAAGAGCCTAGAAACCTGAAATTTTGCACCAGTACTAAGTGGACCATGAGGGTGTGCACCTGAGTATTATTACTTATCCACGTGCGTGCATAATGAAGCAAGATAGAGAAAAACCACATATAAATATAGTCAGACAGTCAGACACGCACGTGTGTGCGCATATTTTTATGAGGCAAGGTATAGAAAGGAAGTGTGAATATTGTTACCAAGGTTTTGATATATGAATGAAATTCTTTGAGGTACTATCAAGTCAAGAATAAACAACAACATCAGTAGGAACTTTTCTGTGTATCAACAATATCTTTTTAGTTGCCAAGTCAGTGAATATTATTTCTCTCAACAATAGCAGAATCGACTTTTTGTGTAACAGTGATATTTTTTTTTCCAAAGCAGTAATTATACTGTTCCTTTTAATAATATCAGTACTACGATTTTGGTGCATCAGTGACACTATCTAATAATGACTATAGTTTTTCTTAATAATATGCAGTATGAATTTTTGATTTATCAACGACATTTTAGTTTTGGTTACCAAATCAGTGAACACTGTTTTTCTCAACATCGCGATGGGGTGAATAAGTTGGTCATTCAGAATCTATAGTGTATTTCCTTATATTACAAATAAAAATCACAGATAGACAGACAGACACGTGTGTGCGTGCGCATGCGCATCTTTTTAATGAAGTAAGTTAACGAAAAACCACATAGAAAAGAAGTAGTTCCTTATATAACAACTATTACCTAGATTAGCCATTGCGTTTTGGTAACAATGCGTCCCAACAATTTTTATGCTAAATTGGATTTAGAATACACACACACATTATCAACCTAATAACCAGAGCGAAACCGAGTACTTTCGCTAGCAATTAATAAAACGTAAAAATAAACGCATTGAAAAATGCTATATTATTTAAAACTAAGATCAAAGGAAATTTTAAACTATATTTTGTGAACTTTTACCATTAAAACTCGTTGTTTTATTTACCAAAATTATTACAGAGATAAATTTTCACAATGCAACACTTTATAATCTTGAAATTCTTGTTAACAAGATACGTCTTTTCTGGGTTGAAAGATTACATAGGCAGTCTGATTTTATAACATGCAATGGCAGTGTCGAATGTAGGTAAAATCGTCTTTTAATATTATATGTATATCTAAGCCCAATATGCCAGTTTGTGTAAGATATTCACGTTGATCAAGCTGTCGATTTTTCATAAAAGCAACACGTTGTTCGCTTTTCCTTTTATTAATTATAATTTCGGATGTGTGTGTCAGTGCTGCCACCAGTTGGATGGCATTTTATTCTACTTACTTGTTTAATTGTTTCCGAATTTTAGCGACAAATTACCCATTCATACTGGCAACTTTTAGGCTACTCTTGTCAAATCGAATAATGGTCACTCTTATAGCGCACCCATGACCTTAAAGTGCGGAGCAGGCTAGTGCGGTCACAGTCCACGAACGTGTATTCCTTGAATTTACCTTTCTGGCATTCTAGCCAATCAGCCAGGTCCGTCACAACATGACAAAGGATATAATATACAAGGATCTTGTTGCAAAATGTGTAGTATTTAGATTTAAATTTTCTCTGTATAGCATGGCCACATAGTTTCTGTTGTATAGTAAATATACTGTATTGAGATATCCGTTAAAGCATAGTCCGATTTCGATGTCCCGACTTTTTGGACACCTAGTGAGTGAGTGTGTAACATGGTTCATGACTAACAACTGAAACATTTTATGAATAATTTTCCTAGAAAACCACTTACTAAGTTAAGTAAGGCATGAATATATCTCTAAAAAATGTATGACAGACACTTTGATCTTTGAGCGTCTACCATTGAAAAAAACGTTGATGACGTCAACAATAAATGTTTATATAGTGTTAAAGTTATTAGTGCAAGAACGCTTCTTGGTTTAATTTTTAAAACTCGACAGCTAAGCCTAATTCAGAGTTAAAATTAGGATATCGAAATTAGTAATTATTTTATGATAGGGTTAATCTCGACAGCAATAATAATAATGATAATAGAGATTAGTAATTATTTTATGATAGGGTTAATCTCGACAGCAATAATAATAATAATATTAATAGTTTTGTCAATTTAATTTGTATTTCAAATGTGTTTTAAATAAAATATAGTTGAAGTGCTCATCATTACACTGGATATTAACCAATTAAATCATCATTTTTTGTTAAATGTAAGAAATTATTTAACTTCCCTTTTTACAGAGTGTTTGTTACACTAAATTCAATTCAATGTTCAAGGTTTTGCTGACTAAGAACACTCAAGAAATGGAAT